ACTTCATTTTCTGAATGTTTTATGACGATAAGCTTTTGTGAAATTTTTTTAGTTAGAGAATGTTTTTATAGTTTTATCCCACGCCAAATATAAAAGCACTCGATTGTTTTTGTGTCGGAAAGAGTTTTGGTTGGTTGCTTTTGAAAGAAGTTTTATGTGCCGTTTTATTTGGAATGTTTCATAAGTTTTTTTTTTTTATTGTAAATTTTATGAATGGCTTTGTGTTGGAGGGTTCTTTAAGTTTTTTTGGAATAAAATGATATTTCATATGTGAGTTATCTTTATTCTTTTTGTGTTTGCTTTTATAGTTGAATTTAGGTAAATGTGGATTAAAGAAAAATTTGTTTGTGTTTTAGTTTTAGGAGCTTATTTTCCTTTCACTATTTTGAGTTTTATTTGAAGAATTATGTGAGTAGTTGTGTCAAAAGTAATCTTAACACCACCGAATTAATATAATTATAATAGTTTTACTTATCGTGCTTTTTTTCTCATTTGAAATTAAAGTTTATTTTCTCATTTCAAATTATTATATTTATAATTTGATATTTTTTACTGAAGTTACATTTCAAATCATTTAACTTTTAGGTTTGTTATTGTGATCGGAGTAGGGATATTAATTTAACGACCGGTAGTTCTTTAGTACTGTTGTTGACTAGCAGATGAAAATAATTTTAAACTTGATATCTTATTTTATGGTTTAATTTTTTTATTGATTACTAATTTTAACTTTAGGTTGAATGTGTTAATTTTTTTTTTCAGACTGTTATAAATGATGAAGAAGAATATAATTTATGCTTTGAAGGAAAAATTGAAACTGAATATATTGATAAGGTATTAAATGATTTAAAAAATTTTAGTATTCATTACGAGGTCAAGATGCACGAGGTTCAAGCAAAATACAGCCAAGTCAAGCAGCTTGAAGGGTAGAGTAGTTGGATGCTGGAAGTTGATGTGGATATTTCGGTCTCAGAGGACCTAAAGAAAAATTATGCTGAAGATGATAATATTTGCTGTGTTTGTACAATAAACTCACCATGCAAATCAAGAGTGTGTAAATGTAGAACAAATAAAAAATCATGCACTAACCATTGTGACTGTAAGTCAAAGTGTTTTAATAGAAATGATTTTAGATGATTAGAAGGTATCTAAAATCTTTCCTATTAGAACATTTTGCCCTACAACCACAATGGCTAGTACATAATTTTTTATTTGTTTTACATCTACATACTCTTGTTTTGCATGTTAAGTTTCTTGTTTAAACACAACAAATATTATTATCTTCAACATAATTTTTTTTTAGGTCCTCTGAGACTGAAGTATTCATCAGCTTTTACCACGCAACTACTCTTTCTATAAAGCTGCATGACTTGGTTGTATTCTGCTTAAAGCTCGTGCTTCTTGACCTCGTGATGAATATTAAAAATTTTTAAATCATTTAATACCTCATTAATATATTCAATTTCAGTTCTTCATTCAAAGCATAAATTATGTTATTTTTCATCATTTATTGCAGCCTGAAAAAAAATTAATACATTCAACCTAAAGAGTTAAAATAAATAGTCACTAAAAAAATTAAACCATAAAAAAAGATATTAAGTTTAAAATCATTTTCATCTGCTAGTCGACAACAGTCCTAAAAAGCTATCTGCCATCAAATCAATGTCCTTCTTCCGATTACAATAACAAACATGAAAGTTAAATGATTTGAAATACAATTTCAGTAAAAAATACTAAATTGTAGATATAACAATTTGAAATGAGAAAGCAAACTTCAATTTCAAATGAGAAAGGAAGCACGATAAGTAAAACTATTATAACTAAATTAATTCGGTGGTGTTCAGGTTACTTTTAACACAACTACTCATATAATTCATCAAATAAAACTCAAAGTAGCGAAAGAGAAACAAATTCTCAAAACTAAAACCCAAATAAGTTTTCCTTTAATCTACATTTATCTAAATTCAATTATAAAAGGAAACACAAAAAGAAGAAATATAACTCACATATAAAATATTATTTCGTTCCAAAAAAACTTAAAGAATTCTCCAACACAGCCATTCATAAAATTTTCAATGAAAAAATGAAACCTTCCAAATGAAATGACACATAAAACCTTTTTCAAAAGCAACAAACAAAAACTCTTTCCGACACAAAAACAATCGAGTGCTCTCATATTTGGCGTGGGATAAAACTATAAAAAAAGGATCTAATAAGAAAATTTCACAAAAGTTTATTGTCATAAAATATTCAGAAAATGGAATTTTAGAAATAACGTTATATATAATTGAGTTATTACATAATATTGTTTGGTTAAATTATTTTTTGTGTTTATTAAAATTTTGAAATAGATAATAAGCATTTGCTACAATTAATAATTTCAGCTTTTTCATCATAAATGATAAAATTACCCATATATTAAATTTAAATATACTTAATTTTTTTTCTAGTTACATAAATGAAAATATACATAGAGTTTTTGGTACAACATAAATTTCTTACATTAAATTAAGTAATATTTTTTTTATTTGAGTAATAAAAATAATTATGCCAATCAAATTTTGAATCTTTAACAATGGAATTACATGTAAATTTTAACGGTAAATAAATTTCAAGCAAATGTTTCTTGAAAAAATCATTTATAACATTTAGATAATGATAATGACCACTGTTAATTAGTTAAGCTTTGAGAAATAGTTCCTTTAAATATCACAACTCGTATAGCATGATAAATCAATCAAGAAAGTCGACGATTCAGCAAATTGAAGCGTGACCACTTCTACTATGAGCGAAGGAAGACATACCAGCTGTTGCCCTTGCTTGCGAGGAAGAGAAGATCGTTGACTGAGAGAGCTTTATGCCTGAATGCCGAAGGGAGATAGGAGCTGCGTTTGTTTCATCTCTTGCTTCTGAGTGGACCGCTTGCTGCTCTTTTTGATGTCGACAGAAAGAATTGAGAAAAAAAGGGACGACTTCAGATGAATTATAAGATTAGGGCTTTTGTTCGAAGAGAGACGGAGATAGAAAATTTTCTTTGAATATTTTAGTGCAACAATTGAAGGATTTCAGCCAAAGAAGATGAGTTGAAGTGGTAAGGCATTATGCAGACGTGCAAGGGTATGTCAGACTTTTCACTCCGGATGAACGCTGACCGCTGAAGGAGAGGAGGTGGGGAATAGATGTCACGTTTCGATGGAAAATAGAGTTGTGCTGAACGTGATATAGCGAAAGTGGTTCCTCCGAACAAACAGTAAAATCTCCCAACCAAACGAAACATAAGTAATAACACAAGAACTTTACGATTCATATGACTATCATTTCAATGGGAAGATATGGAAGAATACACATGGAAAAAGAAACTAAAGAAAATCTCATTTTCAAATTTTTGTAAGAAATTCAAGCACTATATATATTTTGAAACTATCATAAAGTTATGGAAGTAAGTAGAAGAAAAAAAGAAAAAGGGGAAAAGAAGAAGTAGAAATAAGGAGAGGAAAAGAGGGGAAGAGAAAGATAGAAGAGAAGAAGGGAGAATTAGAGGTATACCTGCTACAGCTAGTGAGGTCGGTCGGCTAAGGCTTGTAGACTAGGGGCGGCGTCAGGTTCAATCTGGGCTTGCGAACACAGGGAGAGGTGAAGGAGGTACGACCTCTAGAGTGCGAAGAGCAGAGAGCGAGCAAGGAGCTTCGACCTCTATGCTGTGCGAATCACAGGGAGGCAAAGAGCTAGGAGATGGGAGGGAGAAGAGCTGCCTTAAGTCTCTCGGCTATGGTGTCCGCAAACAGAGAGAGGGAGCGGGCGGATCCTTTGACTGGGAGCCTTCTCCTGGAGGAAATACACGCCAGAGTAAAAAAAGAAGCTTGCCTTTTGTGTCTATCGTCAGAGTCGTTCGAATAATATCTTTTGGAAGAGTAGTGCTTTGATGAGGACTATGATGTCGACATTGTAAGCATCATGAAAGAGATTGTAGGGTTCACCGTGGTTGACTTCATAGTGAATCATTTTCCTTTCGATTTTTCAATTACTACGCTATTATTGTTTTTTTTTTTTTGGGAGATTTTGCGGAGATTTCGCTGAAATTCCATTATTAATAAGTTATACTTGAATTCCACAAGTTTTTCCTATCAAATTGCCATTCGTACCTTTGAATGCGAGTGTAAATGAGCCGAGCTTGTTGTGTGTGTGTGTTTGGTTATTTGTTTGAAACAAACATGTGTTTACACCATTTGTTTGAACATTGTTCTCATTTTTGGCTTGTTTGAATTTGAGATAAACATGAGCCGATTTAGAAAAAAGAAAATAAATAAATAACGAGCCGAACACTATAGAATCATTTCATTTATCTTAAACAATGAACTAGATATATTACTCTTTGGAGTTTGGGGCATGCAAATAATTCATTGTTTTAGATGGTTTAAGCTTTTTCTTAAGAGCACTCGTTACCTAGAGAAATTATTCTATACGGATACCGAACGGGAACAACCGTTCGGATTTGATGCGCTTTTGCAAATACTCAGCAAAATCACAGCATAGCAAATATGCATTCATAATTGTATTTTTGTTACCTTTTTGCTGAGTATTTGCAAGAATGCAGCAAAAGATTAGCAAATATTCAATTAGTAGGATATTTATTGTGCTTTAGCTACCCTTTTCCTGCACTTTTATAAATACTCAACAAAAGGGCAGCAAAAATACAATTATGAATGCATATTTGCTACCCTTTTGTTTGAGTATTTGCAAATGCATAGCTAAAGGGTAATAAATCAGGACGGTTCTTGTTGTCCGGTTTCCGCACAGAATAATTTCTCTATCACCTGACATAGATATTGTCCAATGATTTGTAACCTTAATTTTCCAACTGACAGTTCTATTTATTTTTTTATCAGATTTTGAACACTACAAGCACAATCAAATGAGTAAATGACACACTAAATAATAATAATAATAAATCTCTAATCAATATGTTTTATCCATACACTACTGAAAATTCATTATTGTTTTAGGTACAACCCATCAAAGGAAATCTGGAAAATGCTCAGACGAGTTCTAAAACTTCCTTTTTTTCCCTTCAGTGTTAGCAAACTGTTGCTATGTTATGTTCTCAGTCATGACATGGATCTATCTGGAGAAAGCATTTTGCTTCATTACATTACTTTAGTTTCTTGTTTTCACTTTCTCCATCTTTATGAAGCTACGTTTGAATGCATAGAAGTCTTTTTAAGCTGAAGGTAATTTAGTAGGTACTGCTGAATTGCTTCGTCTTATATTATGCAGAAAAAATTATGGTAGAATGTACTTATTTGCATGTTGATTTAGGACATCTGCAATCATTTCTTTCTTCAATCTAATCCCTACTCTTTTCTTGTAATTATCTCCCCTCTTTATATGTATATGATATAAATATGTTATATTTTAAATAATCTCCAAGGCTTTAAAAATCGAACCGGATCGGCTGGTTCAATCAGTTGAATTGTGAACCGGTCGGCTGGCCGGTTATGATTTACTATAAAATTGGTTTTGCTCATAACCATTGTCAAACCGGCGGTTCGACCGTCAAAACGTTAAATTGGTCTTGGTTTTGAATAACGATGCAGTTCATTCGAAAATTTGAATGTTAAATATGTAAATCTCTTATATATATTTTTGTCATGTGGCAATCGTGAAGGTTATAGATGTCCTTTTTGTCAAAGCTTTATTGAAACTGGACATGTGGCTAATGTTTGTGCAAATTGATGCACAATTTGGAGGATTCGACTGTAACTTAATAAACACATGGCAGGGCATATTGCTTTCGTATGCACACGAGTCTTTATTTCTCCCTCGCCTCACCACATTTTGTCTATTCTATAATCTGCATGCCGGGTGTTAACAACAAAAGAAAAAAAAAATTAAGATTGTAAAAATTGGACGGGACAACGAACCTGAAGGTTTTAGAAAATCGGGACCGGCTCCTGGTTGAACTGGCGGTTCAAATCGGTTCTGGCCGGTTTGATGCACAGTTGTTTTTTAAGGTTGAATTGCACTGGCCTTCAGACCCGTTTACGGTTGAACTGATCATCCGATCTGATTTTTAAAACAAGATGAATCTAATGAGTTCAGGATCTGTGGATTTTGACATTATTAAGGTGCTTATGTGTTGAATAAATGATATATGATTTAGAAGATCAATATAAACCATTTGATGAGATTTTTTGGATGTTCATTGTCAAATTTATTGATGAGGTGTTTTGAGATTTATGCTCGATCAAGATGACTTTTTGATCAATGACAAAAACTAGTAAAATCTTTTCAAGTGAGCGATGCCTCATGTTTTTTCTTCTTTTCATGGATTTTCACCTAAAGTTTTTTTTATCTCTTACGCCTCTCTCCCATCTCTCTAATCTATGTGTGTGTTGGATCTTCGTATAAAGCTAGTATATTAAACTTCATATCTCTCTATTATCACAAATGTTTTTGGCATGCATCAATAACAATAACAATAATAATAATAATAATAATAATAACAATAATAATAATCATACCAAAATAAATTGTATTATGAGTTTCAAAAATCATTGGATTTACTTTTAGATCAATGACATATCTTAAAATTTTGAATTGCATTAATCTCAATTAAACTTCATATCTCTCTTTTATCACAAATGTTTTGGCATGCATCAATAATAATAATATTAATAATATTAGTGTTAGAATATCTTTATATAAATTGTATTATGAGTTTAAAAAATCATTGGATTTACTTTTAGATCAATGACATATCTTAAAATTTTGAATTGCATTAATCTCAAAGCAAATATACTATCTTTCAATATAATTCTATTCACATAATTTTTTATCTTAATAATAATAACAATTTAAAGGAAAACATCCTTCTTAAGCTTTTATATATGCTTTGTCTTACAAACCAATTATGAGCTTCACTGACTTGTCAAAGCAAGTTAATTAAATGAATGTACCTAAACTAATTTGGTCAAAGATTAGTCCACCTAACCTTCATTAACTCATTTTATATAATATTTCGAAGACCTCTCTATCACTCTCTGCTTCCACCTTCACACCTCTAATGCAATCATACCAATCATAATCACCTCAGTCTTAATCACTAATTATTAATTATTATAATTAATCAAAGCATAATTACTGAAGTCTTAATTTTGATTAACACGTTTGAGGCGGCTAATCACTGCCTAACTGTGGAAGGGTCGGTGCATGCTTTTACTTGGGTCTCTATGTAGAATTGACTAATTATTATAATTTTAAGCTTCACTTTCATAAATAATTCACACTTGAAAATAAGTGATATCATATCCAATAAAATGTTATATTTTATTCAAATTTTATTTCAGATTGAATGGACTGATGATGAGCCATTTGTCTCTATATATTTTGATAATAGAATAAAAAGATATTGGATAAATTATTTTGCATCATAAATTTTGAGGGTCTGTTTCCGATAGTTTTCTTATTATTTTACTTTCTGGACTGTAAATATAGGTCAGTTTGATTGTTATTTTGTTGCTGCCATTAAAAAATTTTGTGATGAGAAACTGCTTTTTGCTATAAGATTTGATGATGTGTGGTAGTTAAGAAAAAAAAAATGTTCAATTTTTAAAAAATAGAATATATTTATAACATTCACATCAACTTTCAAAAAGGCTATTTTTTGCAACAACTTGACAATAATCTTTACGAAATACTGCAACCATCACAAATAGGCTCTAAGGCTTCGTTAGGGATGACTTTCTTATTGCTTTTGTAAAACAATTTTTAGTGCAAAATTTTCTTGAACTAAAATTTTTTATACTAAAAGCTTCTTTTGAAAGAATTAAGAAAGTTGTCTCAAACGAAACCTAAATCTTGTTCTTTACGCAAATTTTTATAAAATGGCGGTGAGATCTGCAATACTTTATGGCGCAAAATGTTGGCTATTAAAAAGAAGTATAATGTTAACTTAAGTGTTGCTGAGATGAGGATGCTCAGGTGGATGAGTGGATTTACTCTTAGAGACAAAATTCAAAACGAGCATGCCGTGAAAAGGTTGGTAAGCAATTTTTATATATTTCAATAAAAAAATTTTTATGTAACAAATATTTGTGAATATTTTTTAATATTTTTAACTAGTGTTATATATATATATGAGAAAATCATTAGAAGAATGCTTACTGAGTAAATAGAGCAAGAAATAAAATATAATAGAAATATGAAGGGCAGAGGATATAACTAATTATAAATATGAATCTACTATAGGGAGTGAATAAGATTAAGATCTGATTATTATACTTATCTAGTTAATATGATAGTAATTAAAAACCTGATTGATTATTAAGCAACAAATCCCCAATTAATTAAGCTAAATCAGGCATTATCATTATCTTAGTGGAGATTGCACTTAGAAATTCCCTTGTCAAGTCAATATTGATTCATTTATCTTGGCAAACAATTTTAGATTATTAAAGATTATAATAGTTTAAATACTTAATCAAGCTCTTAACAAACTATAATTTAATATATTTATAAAATCTTAATGGATGATAATTATAATTTTGGAGGCCATTCTTATGAATCCTGATAGTTAATAAGGAATTCATGAGAATTAATGCAAGATTTTTGTTTAATAGAAAGAAAGAAAGATCATTTCTAATATTTTTTAATAAAAATTTTTTAGTACTATCTCTATTTTTTTAACTTAAGTAAAATCTAAACATCTACTTTCTTAATCGGGTCATCGGAAGATTGCTATTTTATGTGACCAAATCATCTAAAAAAGACTCTCTAATCTTATTTTTCATTGGAGCTACTCCAACCTTTTCACTAAACCTAATACAAATTATTTTTAATCTCACCTACTTATATTTTAAGTATTTTGTAGCTAATTTCCTTTGAAAAAAACATATTTTTGTGCGTGCAAATGAGGATAAAACACGAGAAATTATTTTGTGCGGAGGCCGGACGCAGCTCTACGTCTGGAGACGAATAAGGTGCAATCATGTCTATGATACTGAGCCGCGCTACCGAGTGGAGCAGTAACGAGTTGCTGCACGTAGCAAATGGGTGACATGACGCATTCTGATAGATCTCCGGACGACGTTTGGTGTCACCATAGAATAATTAATCATAAAACACATGTTCAACTAACACGAATTTTAAAGCATTAGCATAAAAAAAAACATTTTAATAACGTGGTACAATTCTCAATTAGGGAGATGTCTCCCTCACAGAATTGGTCTAGAAAATTGAGCCTAAGCCATGAATATATTTAAGTTTTATTTAGGACAATTTTTTGCTACTTTTAAAATAACTTTTTTTTGCAATTTTTTTTTTAATTGAAAGCCACCTCAAACTAAACCTTAGTCCAATTTTTTGACCATTTGGTTAGGAGCAATGATGAATTACGACATTTGTGGTTGCGAAATCATTATAAAAAAAGACATTACAAGGTAGATTTGTAACCGGCAAAAATAGATCAAGACAAGAAAGCAAGATTGTAATGAGCAATAAAAGAGAAAATATCTGCATGAAAAGTTGAACTTCTCAGCGTTGATAATTGACTCAATGAAGCAATAATAAAATATGATAATAAAATTATTATAATTATAATTAGTTTGGTTTACAAGAAAACTATCACTACAAAAAATTTGATGTTTTTATCGCCATTCATAGTGGTGGTTTGTAACCCGTGCTATTGATTGGTATCGCAGTGATTTTCATCGCTGCCGAAATTATTATAATTTCTTATAGCATTCAATAGCGGCATTTTCAAAACCGCTTCAAAAAATATTTTTAGGCCTTATTTGATTCTGCGGCTCTATTTTATCATTTTTAATGGAGATTTCAAAATGGTAGACGGAGAAAAAATTTTCTTCTCGAATCGGCAGAAATACGGAGGTTCACCGGAAGTTATTTTGAAGAAACGGTGTTACCAAACAGTAAACAATCCTTTTTTTGCAAATTCAAACCGTAAACGGAGAAATTACGGAAAAACAAACGAGGCCTTAAAGTAGTCCTGTGACCATGAAGCAATGTCGGACATGATGATCTTTAGGGAGCAGACGCACTTTAGATGTTTGTCTCAATGCCTAAAAAGAACAGAGTTCAATTTTTCTCCAAAATGCAGTCCCAAATCTTCAACCAATCTAACCTATAGCCACAAACTCAGCATTGAGACAATCCATTGTATTTATTTGATAAATTATTTCATCCATTTTGTAGCTATAAAGTAATTACTATTTATGCTTCTCGTGTGAAAAATTAAATGGTGGAAAAGCATTCAGACAATCTGTGTAATTATTAGATAATATTTTTATCTTGATGATATTCTAATCACATAGCACAGTTATTTTCTAATTGTTTTGTTCATATTTAAGAAAT